TTTTTTTAATAGAATCAATGGTTAAGGAGATATTTATGAGATTATATTTATTGTATTTCCACTTTAAGCAAAAATAGCTTCAAACCACAAATTGGATGTTGTTTATAGTAGACGATACCTTTTTGATGTTTAATAATTTTTTTTAAAACATTTTCGATCGTTCAAATCATTATTCAAAGTTTCTTTCTTTTAAAGATTCTAAAAAGTCATTGACAACATAATTATATTGGATATCAATCAATGGGGGAATTTCTTGGTAATGATATGAAGTTTAGATTGACATTAATTTCCTATAATTGATAATTTGTGATAGAATACAGTAAAACTTATAAAAATTTACCATAAACCATGGTCTGATTACATACAGAGAATCAGAAATCTTAAATTTTGTAATTTTTAAGCCTACCACGTTTTAAGTAAGTATAATAAAAAGCAATGAATAAAAAATATTTACAACTTTACTATTTTACTTTGTTGCAACCAATTACTTCATACTAAACTAGATTAAATTTACGTTAAATGAAATTAAACTTTGTCTATTTTAAAGCCATTTAAATAGAGCGGCCATGGCAGTTCTTAAAAGTCCTTCTTTCTTCTAATAGATGGCGGGAGCGCCACTGAACGGAATTGCGTGCATATAAATTTGTGACAATAATACTATGTTACACACTTTTTTTTTCTCTAAATAATTACGTATTTCAATTTGCAAAATAGGTTAAGCAAAATCGACATCATTGACAAAAATCCACTCATAAAAAAAGTATTTGAGGAAAACACTAATTAAGGGCTTTATGAAGAGTTGGTGTGCGTTGATGAACATGATGTGTTATCACCATTATTCAACAGCTTATTCTATCCATGATACCATAACAGTGGGGAGAATAGATAAATAGATTTCAGCTAGTTTAAAATATTTTTTTTTACTCTTGCTGTGAATGTTGCATGTTGTACAAAACAGTTAAACACCTCCACTGTAAGAATCTCCTTTATGCATATTAACTGGATGGACAATTTATTTCTTTATTTGCCTACTTTTGGTTCGATGGACAGGATTAATGTGTAGGATCAGAGCCAGCTTATTGCTCTACTGTTTTTGTGAAATCAGCTCATCTCCATCCCCAGCTGATTTCCTTAATGCAAAGTTATGATATCTTAGTGCCTTGTGTAAATAATGTTATGATGTATTTTTTTTTCTTTCAGATTTGCAAAGAAAACCACTTTTGTATCTAAGATTTTGTATCTACATAGTTGGTCGTTTCTTTGGGTACTGTTCATGTTATCTTGATCATCAAATTAACTATACATAACTGGCTTCTTATCAATCAGGTACAATTATCTATTAATTTATTCTTAAATAATCTTGTTAAAAAAATATATTCCGATTTCTCTCCTAATGAGCGGCCTAAGCCGATTCAGAAACAAAGGAAGTTTTTTTTTAATATAACACCCCCTCTACCCCTTCCTTCCCCAGTGCGACCACCCCGTGGAGAGTTGTCCATTCAAAATATGTGTGCACTTTGCAGATCTTGATTTAAAATCAAGACGAAGTTTCGTGAACGAAGTTTACTTTAACCATTTTCCCTGTACTAGTACCTGTTGGAGGTGAACGAAGAGGGGCCGAACACCTTGGGGTGTGGCCGGTTCTGAACGTTGTAGTTTCGATTCCCACCTGGGTCGGTTAATTTTCAATTCTTGACGGCCTTGGAAATGAATCTTGACATTCGCATTCTGGCAAGTACGCGCCATCAACCTCAATCAAGGTAGTCGTCCGGGGTTGGCAAAAAGAACCATGTGGTCCACTTGCCGGACTAGTTCCGTCCTTCGGTACCAGTACATGTTGGATATACAATACAATAATGAAGAGCTATTCGGTGTTTAGTGTCAGCATCTCAAAGCAAGTCGGCAGACGATTTCAAAAGGCTAGATGATTGGCCTAAAAATGTCACACTTTTCGACCACAGTTCGATTAAAAAAGATCAGATGCGTATAAAAGTTTTTCATTTCTTTTATTATTATACGGAACAACTTGATATTTTAGCCTATGATTTTTACGAAGATTAATTTAAGAGGAGCATTTGACGAAAACATGAAAACGGATTTGCACCTTTAGATGACAATGAGGAGGATTTGAACCTTTAGTTTTATAAACTTAAAATTACGTATTCGCTAGATACTACGGTCAATTTACAAGAACGACGAGCATGGGTGGAACAAATGGAAGGCTATCATCCATGACTTAGTAAACCATTTATTTATTTTTTTATTTAGTTATCTTTATTTCTTATTGAGTGATATAGGCAGATTTTTCTGGTCCATATGTCACTTCGAACATTTTCGAAATGGTGCAAAAAATTAGGCATTTTGCAATTTATAAATTAAGAGTCTGTTGAAGGGAGAAGAGAAAGGTATTCTTGAGGGATCTGATTAAGTATTCCCTGTGTGACTGTATCATGGGCCTGGTCCTGAGAAGATTCCTCTGTTTTTGACATGTACATAGCGATAATGGGTTGCACCCCGTGACCGCACCCAGCCACCCCGCTGAATACCAACCTAACTCAAATAGATTCTTCCCACTCCTCTTTCTCCCCTTCATATTATATTTACCGTCATGCTCCTTCCTCAGCCTTATCCTTTTCTGCCTATAGGCAAGATGTCTCAGATGTTGGAATCTTAGCAGGATTAAATCAATTTCGATGTAACATTTCTTATTAACCGTAAATAGTAAAATAAGGCCTAAATATGCAAAGGACTAAAATGAACATTTATTCTGCAAAGTTTTTTCTAATTGAAAATATACAGGATGTCCCGTGTGTAGAGGGACATATTACAAAAGGTGATAGTCCGATGGTCCGATTTTCAGCAGAAAAGTAGGAAATTCAACTTTTGTCTTTTTGTAAATAAGCAAGGTTTTTTTGTTGAATTGAAACTAAAACAATACTTAAGTTAAGTAATTAACATTTGCTTTACATTAAACTAAATAAAATTTACTTTAAAGAAAGTAGAATTTGTAATTGGTAAGACCATTTAAAGAGAGGCAAGAGTTTTGAGTGGCTAAACAAAGAAAAAAAAATCGTCAACAAGACAATGAAAAAGGAAGTAAAATAAATTGACAGCCCCGTTCCGATAGCTTCTAACTACTTAACTAAAAATATTGAAAAACATTGCAAGGTTTTGCTTTGAGAAATTTCTTTCCAATTTTCATTACATGATAAAAACAGATTTATCGTTTCAAGTAAATTTATTTTTGGATGTCTGCAGGGACAGAAATGATATTGAACAGAAAAGATCAAAATTCTAGCTTTAAATAAATTTGTTATGTAGAATATTTGCCGAAATGAGATTAAAGTTAAATAGGTGATAAATATTCAGGACACATTCTTTTTAAATTTTTTTTATTTATGCCAACGTTTCAACCCAAACATGTGGGTCATCTTCAGGGCGTGGCTTGAGCACTGAGGGTGTTCAAGGGACTTGAACCACGCCCTGAAGATGACCCACATGTTTGGGTTGAAACGTTGGCGTAAATAATATTTATCACCCATGATATGTATAACAGTCGACTAACTTCCTTCAAGAATTCATTAAAGTTAAATAGTAATAACTGAAATACAAGAATAATAACGAGACAAAAACATTAAATCTCATCCAAACATATTCAGAAGTTTTACAGTAACATAACTCTGAGGATTCTTGAGCCTCATTTCTCCAGTTTTCTGCCACCGGATGACTGCTATTGAAAGCTCCGGGCACGAACTCCAATTGTCGAAATTATTTTACTATAGATCTCTTGACCACTGCCATTTCATCCTTCTAGATGAATAGTGAAATTCAGATGGTACGAAAGGTTGAGGCAAATTTAAGAAAATGTTATCTTTATAAAGTTTACTGTTACTGGCCACCAAGGGTACAGAAAGGTTTTAAGGTAGTCTTATAAATTAGAAGCCTGTTAATGAATGAGACATGAGATATCCTGATTAGTAATTAGTGTAGTTGGATAAATGTTGAATGAAAAAATATTATTATTCTTTGAATACAGTCTCCTGTTGAATAATAACAGAGTTACATAATTAGGAACATTAGTCTGACTTAGATGAATAGAAAATGATGCCTAATTAACTGTTGATTGTTATTGCAATTGTGCAGTTGATTGAATCAGACTTTGTACAGACGGAAGTGAATTTTACATGTTTGCGGAAGTTTGAACATGGAGTAGATGGAGGAACAGGAGCTGTTTCAAGGAATTTGTGGACAAGGATTGACGTATGGAGTTAGTTAGAGAGTTCCAAAAAAAGCAGCACGAATGTGGAAGGATCTTCCGAAGGAAGTAGTTTCATGGGAGGTGATATATAAATTTATAGGTTGAGACTTTGTATTGAGATAGTGTATAGAGGAACGTAGAGTAAGGAGTTCCAGGATGTAGGGATGGTTTTTGGTTCTGAGAACTTGGAAAATGAAAACACCAAGCAGGAATTGTCGTCGGGAAGTAGGATAAAGCCACTTCAACTCGTTGTACTTGAATGGAACCTGGGAACGCTTGGGGATCCCAAAGATGTATCTTATTACAGTTCATGAGCTTCTTTAATCTTATTTCTACCAGGCTAGATAGCCCTCCATACACCAAGCAACCGTAGTCGAAGTGGGGATACATAAATCATCCGTTAAGTTCTTCTCTTTTAAGTATCGGATGTGGGTATCAAACCAGTTGTTATTCTAGGATGCAGTTGAAGTATGTCACTATTTCAGATCTGTGTAATATAATGTTATTAAACAGAATTGGCGGTAAGGAAATGCGGCAGAGATTTTAGATATATTCACTTTCGTCCACCAACGACTTCACATTCCAGGAGAGATATCTTAGGAGGATGGAGGAGGCTGTTATAGGATCAGGAGGGAATAAAATGATGGCTCAGCTGTTCAGTGATAACATAATCATTTGGACTTATAGGTGGTAAGCTTACTAGCAAGTGCAAGATGTATAATGCAAGGATTCTTCTGGTGACCGACTGAATTAGTAGCCCAACAAGCCAAAGTTCCAAAGTCATATTCCGTGTTGGCTTTGTAGGAGACGTAGCTGGTGCTTCCTGATGAATGGACAGAGGCTGATGGGATTGCCATTACTTCTCGTGACCTAACATATAATTGATAATTATTATAATTAGGTAAAGTATTTGGGGAAACAAATACATTTTTTGAAGAAAATTTATTACACTATTCCCGTATAATAAATTAAATTACATTTATCAATACGTCTAGGTGCATTTGATTTTTTTCTTTTTATATGAACTTAAAACAAAATATTACCTGTTAAATGTCCATCTGAATTTGAGATCTTCTTCTGAAGCAACTCGCACTTCACAAATAGCCTTCACAGAGGACCCGACCATTGCACCTACCGTCCGAACTTCAGTTCCAGGCTTGCAGAACGGGGTGTCTGAAACATATGACTTGTAAAATTAACTTTTAAATAATTTACAATAATATTATAAATACAAGTTTGATATTTTCCCGTATTTTTTTTTTAAACAATAGTTATTAGCTACACTACATAGTGACTTTTCATATTAGTACTTTGCAACAAAAGATCTAACTTAATTGATTAGTAGGTATGCCGTATAATATAATAATCAAATGGATTATTAATTGAATTAATACAACATGTGGTCAGTAACTTTTTTTTTCGAAGGTATCCTATAAAGTTAATTTGTAATTATAATAAACTGCACAACGTGTTTCAATAATCCACAGGTTAAATATGCAAATTGCTTGCATTTTTTTTGCTTGAGATTTTCATATCTATTGGATTAAAACAGTTTAATGATTCAGCATCATGAAAGACGATATGTATTTTTTTAATATATGCAATGTCCTTAAAATGTTGAACAATTTTTTTTTTTCTTTATACAAAGCGGGATCAGGTGGGTTCTGAAATGATACTATTACCGAAGGTGGAATCGATCGGGAAGAACCCAACTGTTTTATATAAAGGAGGTTACAACTCCTCCCCCCCTCCCTCCACCTTTCCTCAGACTATAGATTGCCAAGGAGGCCGGTTCGTTTGCTAAGACTGGGAAGCAGGTATTGTGTTTACCTGACGATACAACTTAATACTCGTGTCAACCTCCGATTGAACTAATGCAGGTTCCGTGTGTCCTACCTTTAGCCGTTCCAATGACAACCAAGACCTTCCCTTGATTCCTGGTCGGCAATCCACTGATTGCTCCGGCTAATATTGTTTCCCGTTAGGTTCTACTGTTTCTGGATACAATTCAGTAATGGATTTTATTGTGTCTGTATCTGATGTACATTTCTGTAGTCCATGCGAATACATTATATAAGGATCACATAATTTATTTTTATTTGAATTGGTATTAAACCGAAAAAACTATTTTATATTCTAAAATGTAATTAAAATAATTAAATACATGACACATTATTTATTTGGGTATATTTTATGTATTTGACATTTTGGTACTATTTAACGCTATACTAGGCGAGAGTAACCATTCATTCGCCATTTACAGTTGCTTACATATTATGATTTCTTTTAAATATTGCATAATTTGGTCATGATTTTTTTTTGCCTTTACCAATTAGTATACTTAGATTCTGTGTAATGAACCTGAGTTTTGTTCTAATTTATTTGTATAGTTTACATTTTATTAATATATCCTTGACTTTTAGCAGTTGCCTCGACCTCATACTGGAATTTCTTCTTTTCTTTTACTAGATACAACATCCCACTAGCGGATCCAGAATTTAATTTTTTTTTTTTAGGGAGGCTTTGGCCTGAAAACTTTTTTTCTTCATGCATATAACGATAATTATTTTGGGAAAAAAATAATGATAATAACTACGTATATGAAATGGTGTTTAAGTGATTCTTGAAGGCCTATTAAATGTATTTACATGTACAATAATACTTTAATAGATAATTTTTTCCATAAAACATGGTTACATTTCACCATATGGGGGGAGGGCTTCAGCCCGAAAGCCTCCCCGTAGATCGGCCTGTGCAATATCCCAATGATTTGCTGTCTCTCAAACAGCTTTTGATTTGTTAAGTTTGTCTAACCGGAGACAATTTTTATTCCATATATGAAATAAAAATTAAATTATAGTTTTTGTTTGGTTTTTTCAAAGGTTATAAATTGTATTGTACAAAGGGTTTTGAAGTAGGGTATATATATCTTAAGGAATATTTTCAAAATTTAATAACTATGCTATACTATGCTCTCTAGTTTAAATGTTTTGTTTTTTTTACCAGAGTTTGTAATATCTGTGTACGTAAATAGAAATAATAAATGTATTTAAAAATTTAGTTTACTCTGAATATATTTTTATTCCAATGATATTACGAAAATAGATATTCGTGTGTATGAATACGAATATTATTGTGTTTCTTAGGGACACAAGTGGCCACTTAATATGTGCCATTCCTACATATTCGTCCTTTTTGCTACTTACTGAATTATCTAGGCATTGGTTTTAAGGAAACAGTCGCAAAATTTGTCTTATTCATTTTAATTGAGAACAGTGATTACTTGTTAAATACCACAGAATGAGATAAATTATTAATGTATTTTCTATTCTTGTCGGAAAATCGTTTTGAGAGATTAGGAGTTGACAGAAGAGAGACCGATATGGTGTGAATTGCGCATACAAATAATTGAGGTTGGTATATTTTAAGAGGCTATGAATTTTTCATAGGAAAAACCGAGAATATTTTTTGTTGAACGAGGGGAAACATGGAACAGGACACTGTAATTGTTAACAAACTTTTTTTTATAATTTTAATTTAGCTCTGTTTTGAACATAAAAAAAAATTAAATTTATTTCAAGAGGGGAGGGGGAGGAGTCATGCACCATTTTGTTTTGTAAAGGGCTTTCTTCCAAAAAACTAACATCCCATCCGAACTCCTTTAACTTTTGGAAGTTAACAATTAGAAGAATGTACGTTTTTATGTGACTTCAAACTGAAAATTATTTTGAGTCACGTATATATTTTAACCTATACTTTTTATGAAAATAATAGTGATATTCTCATTATCAATTTCTGGGAATGATTACTGACTACTGTGAGGTATAAAATTTAAAGATATGTTTTCAATAAAGACTTTATAGTTTTCACACAAATACCAATACTAACACTTTGATTTTTATATGCTTTGTGACTTCGAATTTATAGCAGATATGGGTTCTAAAAGTATAAAAAAAATACAATATAGTTAAATAAATATATTGTACTGCTGCGTAAGATTTGTGATAGGAGCCCCGAGAAACTCCCAAGTGTCTCACCACTACACTGAGTTAAAGTGGCTCTTCTCCTCAATTCCAAGACAATATTTCCTGGGCACGTTCCTCTATCACGTTACGCCTACAACCTTCTCCAATTCAAGTCCTCTGTCCACTCCCTTTTCACAAGATCTCGACCTTCAGACCTTTACATTCCTTCTCACAGATTTGCCTCGTTCCAAAACTCGTTTATTGCTCGCTCTGTTAATTTCTGGAATTTCCTTTCTATCAACATTCGGCATTTTCCCTCCCTATCTACATTTAAAACCCTCCTATTCCAATTTCTATCCCAAAAACAGTCAGATACCCCCCACTAACCTTTTATGTAAATTTACATATAATTCATCACTTAAATACTTATTATCAAATTCTTTTTCTTTTCTTTTTTTCCTTTTTTTGCAAAAACACAGAGTTTATTGCTAAGAAGAATGTAATGCATTTTTTTTAAAAGTGTATACTTATGTTTTACCACTGTACATAGTTTTAAGTGTCTTGGCATGGTTTTGTGTGTGTTTTGTAAGTGTTTTGTATGTAGATTTTTTTTTATTTTGTACATAGTATGTTTGACTATTTTTTTCTTTACTTTTTATGTTTGTTTTTACTTAGGCCAGATATAATACTTTAATTTTGTACTTTTTTGTTATTCTATAGGGACTTTGTCCCAGAATAAAATTATTTTCTATTCTATTCTATATCTAAAATAACAAAACAATTTCTAGTGGCACATAGGAGATCTTACATTGGACCTTGAGCGACAAAGGCCTGCTCCGCACAGCACCTTCCCTGTTCCTCACGAAGCAGAAGTAGTCTCCTGCGTAATTGGCGTCAACAGGACCAAGCTTCAGCTCAGCTCCGGTCTCCCTCAGCAGCTCGCTCTTTATATAAAACAGAAATAAATCATTGATATTATTAAAAATAAATTATGTTTATATCAGCCTCACAGTAGGTATTGACTACCAACCATTTAATTTCACTTATCTATATGAACCTTTCAGTTGACAGAACGACTAACTCCAATTTCAACATCTTTGATTATTAATTTTAGTGATATTTCTAGTGGGAAAAGATACACCTTTATTCACAGTTCTGTATTTCAACACTCCTACTCTGGAATCAACTTATTCACTATCTGTACGGATATAAATTCTCCAATTAGAAATATAACTAAAATGACTTTACTCAAAAATGTTGTGAGATGTTGCCTTTTGGGGTTTTAAAATTTTATTCGGGATGCCACTGGATAATTATTAATGATAATTACCCAGAAATGTTTAATAAAAAATAGTAAAATAAATTTGGATCTATAAATAATTGGGCCATGATTAATTAATTGGATTTCTTTTGTCAAAGGCTGGTTTGTGTTTATCATGCTTTCTAATTACCTACATTACCTGTGATCATCAAGACATGAATGGGTGGCAGAATGAAAATAACTTTTACTAAAAAACTTAATATATTTCTATGTTAAATAAAGAATATGTACAAATTATATTTACAAGAAACTAACTACCTGATTCACTGAATTTAATAATCAATTTTGAAGGTATGATATCAGATGGACTGTTTGAAAATTATTTTACCATGAAATATTCTAACATTGGTAAATTTATTGTTGGGAATAAAACTTATGTATTATGGTATGTGGTGTAGTTGGTAGATTTATTCGCTGCATCAACTGATCCGAGGTCATCTTTTCAAGGCCAGGTCCAAAAACTTCACCAAGACGCCCATCTGTGTGATCTATGTAGGGCCTAGGCTTCAGTCCCCAAGCCGGAAGAGAACATAAGACCTATCCTCCAGGCCAGAAATCGACATAAGACCTCTCTTCCTGCCCAGGAACCAACATAAGACCCATTTTTGTCCTTCTCAGTAGATTTTATAGAAATATTCAGGATGCGGCAAGAATGGTTCTCATTGGTTCTTAACGTCACCCTATTACTCCACAATAACTGGTTACACCCTAAAAGGAACTAATTACTTAGCCCGTTACTAGTTTTTATTCTGAGTAAAGGCCTTCTCTAGAGCCCCTTATCCTTAATTTACCTGCTCTTTATTCTTGGCGTCGTTTTTGATGTCAGAAGTCGGTTTCGTTCACCTTTGGTTTCTACACCTCATAATAATTTTAAAACCTTGTTTGCTATGTTTTTTCAATACATAGCAGTTGAAATTCGAGTTAATTATTCTGTCAACCGAAAGTCTCATATATAAAATATACAGTAAGAGAAAGTATTACGATCATGAATAATTTCAAATCCGAGATTTCAACTGAAATATTAATTTTTACATAAAGATTAAGTTTCTTTCAAAACTCATTCCCTTTATTCTTTCTTTTCTTATTATTATTTTTCTTTTATACTTCATCAATGTTTCAAGTCTTCCAGTAATTATCATTAATAATTTTTTTAAATCTTAGTTTTAATTCATTCAGTACCTTAAAAAAAGAAAATTAGAAGGATTAGATTGATGTTATGTGCAACATAGTATATACCGAGCATACATATATGTTTTTGACAGCTTTTATACAATAATCCGTATTATAGTTAATTCAAACAAAAGAAATCATAGAAGCGATCTGATTTAGTGGAGAATGAATAATGTGAATCTGTTGCAGAAGACTTGAACATCGCCTTATTGTAAGAATATCGATCAAATGATGACAGGGTAGAGGAGGCTGCAATTAGCAAGAGATTAGACGATCAGTTCCCGTTTAAACCTATGTCGAATTAGAGGGGCAGTTCCACTTTTCTCTAATTGGAGTTGGAAATCTTGCCGTCCAGCAACTTCTGTCACAAACTCCATCCATTTCTCTGTCTCCATCCACGATAATTCCGCTACACGTTGTCCGGTCTATTGGGTCTATTAATGTAGATAATCAATGCCACTTTCTGTAATTGGTATAACAATAGACCTCAATAGGTGGCGTTATCAAAGAATCAAGTTAAGATCTCTCGAAGGGAAATATACACCTAACACAGTTTGTTAACTAAATTGCTACGGCTTCCCGTAAGTATAATTTAATAAAAAGTATAATTTAAAAATTATATTAATCAGCAATACAATTCAAGAAAAAAAAAACGACAATGGAACTCATGTTAATGTTTTCATATATATTTTTATAAATTTCTTTTAAACCTTTCCCACTCTTGCTAGAACAGATTAGTAAGTGATCCTGGACAATGTAACTCACATTTATGGTTTCATACATATATTTTTAAAAATTTCTTTCAAACCTTTCTCGGACGAGAACCGTTGTGTTCAACGTGGTATGGCCAGATTCTCCGCTCAAGACATGAGGCTAAAGAGCTCTTGCTCAAACTCCACTGGCTTTAGCACCTGTGACGCGGTTGAGAGAATAGCACAGGGATCTCTTGGAGTCCTGATTTTTCTTCTATAGTTGGAGGGAGAAGCCTGGTTTGGGGTTCCCTGCCTGATTGTATATATTGTATATAGGTATGACTGTGTCTTTATGTTTTTAATTTACTTATCTTTAAGTTATTTTATTTTTTATTGTACATAGTTTTTGATTATTATTTAGTTATTATTGTACTTTTGTTAATTATATATTTTCTGTATATAATATGTGCATGCGTTCATATATCACTATATTTTTTTTCCACGCGACAGATTATTATATTTCTAAATAAACAAATAAAAAAAATAAAAAACCTTTAACACTCTTGCTAGAATAGGTTGGTAAGTGATCCTACAGGATAAACCGTCCTTCCTGGCCTAGGAGTATATGCACACACTTAAAGAAACCTTGAAGAACAGTCGTATTTTACTGAATTTTCTACTTTTTTTTATTTATTTACTCTGATATATAAGCCCTGTGTTTTTCAATTGAAATTGCCGAGAAGGACAAAGGAATGTACAACTGGTCCTAAATATCTAGTCCTGTAACAAGGAGGAGTATCTGAAGCCTTCAAAGTTCGAAGAACTTAAACGTGATAAGAACAACATCGCAGGAGAGATGTGCACATCAAAATGAATTATAAAATCCTCTGATATGCAAATGATATATTTGTCCTTGGGAGTAATCGAGACGATATAGCGAGACAGTCTAAGACTCCGATAAGAAAGCAGTGGAAATCGGTCTACAAGTAAATAAAGATGGAACAAAATGTATAACAGCCCAAAATTACAACCAAACAATAGTATCTTTATAGAGAGTAAATGGTTCCCCAAAGGTCATTGAAATCTCGAAAAATCTCTACAAATCTCAAAGAAAGGTAGTACAACACTATTATAAAGTCAGTTCTGATATATGGCTACTGGACCAGCACACTAACCAGATCCCTAGAAAGGAGTATAGAGAGCTTTGAAAGAAAAATCCTCCGGAAGATAACTGGAGGGATCTGGGATCACATCTACAAAATGGTATGTTCATATATATCTGTGTTGTCGTCTCCGAAATAACCGGCGAAAGTGAAATATTCATAATCATATTTGTAGCGTATCATGTTATTAGTTAAACTAGACCCCCTCTGATAAGTTGGTTTGGGAAAATCAGAATATCCTCTATCTTAGAAATTCATAATAACAGTTTGATCCAGTTTCGAAAAAACGATGTTCAACATTTTGAATGTTATACGAAATCCAGCCGAGAGCCTGCCACCTGAAGATACCTCATATCTCCACAGGGAGTGAGGTAGCTTAGTAGCTCAGTGCCTCTTAGTGCCTCCAATGATCAAGGTCCCAGATTCGAATCCCCGCTCATGGTAGAAAAATTATTTATTCTGTTTCATTGGCCGTGGGACAACCCTGGAGTAGGGAGACCCTCCTGGGGCACACCCAGCCTCTACAAAGTAGGTACTCTAAATTAAATTATTGATTAAGGGAGACAACTTTTAGGTTGAACGTGATTCTAGCCCTATCTTCTCCCTGCACAACCGTTGGCCTTGAAACAATTCTTAGGTTGGGGTCTTCATGGGGTGAAGTGGTACAGGTTTTTTTTTCACACCTCCACATTACATAACAATCACTGCCAATGAGACCAAAAAGTTTAGACAAAATCATCAATTAGTAATTCTCGGAACAGGACCCCAATCCTAATATTCAAAGAATATCAAAAGTATATTATTTTTTTGTTAATATCATTAAATAAATTGAGGAGAGGAATCCTGTTGCAACAGATGAATAACCAATTCGAAAATGTTAATTGTTTTTCAGAACGATTGGAAAAAAGAAAATTATATCCTTCAAGTGTTTGTAAAGTACGAAAGGTGAGTGTTATTGATGCTGGATGGTTAAATTATGCGCTCGAGTAGCTGCCGCAGCTTTGGCAGTAGGAAGTGAATTTTGATGAGTTAGGTCTTATCAATTTATGCACTTCAAACCAGAGGTTTAATGGATAGCGCCAGCAACCAATTATTATTTTTTGTTTTAATTTTTTTTGTAATGTTTTCAGTTCATGTACATGGCGAGTACTGGAGTAAACATTATGATGATAGTTTCGAGACTTCCACGTTATAAGAAGAAGATGTTAGTTGATAATTAAGTTAATTAATAATTTTTTTTTATTTTAATGAAATTTACAACTGTATTACATGGAAAATACAACAAGTAAATGTGACATTGGTAACATGACGTGTACAACATGAAGAGAAACTACCTATTGGTAGAACTCAAATTAGAGTTCTATATTAGAAGGTCCCGAGGCCATCTTCTTCTACGCCTCGGAGAGTTACAGGGATCGAGGAGGAAGCAAGGTTTGAAACGAGAGGATTCGGATGGTTCTGCAGTTTGTTATGGAAGGATAGGTATTTGGATTGGACCGAATCGGAAACATATGGAACATTAAGGTCTTTATGGATGATTTTATTTATGAGGTATTAGTATGATTTTGGTGGCCCGTATGCCATGCTTTGGGGCCTCCTCAAACCTCAAACATAACTTTTAAAGATGAGGCTGTGTGTTATAGATATAATAAAATAGTAATAATACAATACACAATAATGCAATCATTTTTTTTTTTTTTTTTTTTTTTATAAGCTTATTTATTGAAATATATTACAATCTGTCTCAGGGACATTAATAATAGTGTTCACAGATCACATTCACACTCTATGTACAGTAAATAAAATAAAGAATTATACAATATAATACGAACACCCACTTGAAGCATATTTTTAATGGGAAAAGCCTATTTTTAATGGGAAAGCATATTTTTAATGGGAAAGCATATTTTTAATGGTCTTGGGTTCAGTACTATTTACGAAAAGGACTGTTTCTTGGTCAACGCTTGTTCAAGGAGTTGATTTGACCGAGATTACGCTCATCCGCCAGGTTTTCTCCTCTTAATCAATTATTGAATTAAGGGTACCCACTTTATAGAGGTTAGGTGTACCCCAAAACTTTGAGACCTTGGAAATATTCAAATTATTGCTATTATTATGACCTTGAGCATTGGAAATAGTCAAATAGATAGGAAACAGTCAAGATAATAACACAATGTTTTTTTTTTTTTACTGTTACAATGTTGTGGTTAAAACATCAGCGTAACTAAGCTTCCAGCAGATGCCACAGCCCAATCCAGAAGTATTTTTTCAAAACAATTCGACATATTTTACACTAAAAATATCAATCCATAAATATTTATCACCAGGTTCAGTATTTATGACAAGCATAAATATAGAGAAAAATGAGTTAATGAAAAACAATTTTCTGTCAATCGGAGAGTAAACTGTTGTGTAGAATCATCCAACTCTTTACTCCCCTCCTCTTTCGGTCTTAATTTCTTAATTTATCTTTTGGGATCTTACACTATCAAAGAGAAATACTTTATTGAAAGCAGTGCTGCCCTACTACATAGCGTTGCTTTACACACAACATACCGATCAATCCATTCGGACATAATTTATACATTACATTATTCTACTACCATGTATATATATATCTTTCCTTCGTTTCCTTTCTCATTATAATAATAGTCTTATAAAATATAAACTAACAACTACACCAAGCGTAATAAACTACACTAAGCCATCAACATTGCATAACATACACTTTTAAAAAAATCTGAATGCTAAGAATCCAAAACTAAATCGCATACACATATATACACAACTATAGAAAAAAAGACAAGAAAATACTAACAATTTAAAATAGAATAAATAAATAATAAAATATATCATCGGGCCGTTATTGTTTCGGCGTCCTTAGGCGGAGCCTTTTGCATTCCATCTAAAACTCTTAAGGAACGCGCGCCTCCACGTGGTACGGCTGGATAACTCTATTCCCGATAGTTAGGCAGATGAAGGAAGAAACGGAAAGACTTGGAATAACGGACCGGGACTGTCTGGACAGAGAGGGGTATGGTAAGAGACTAAAGGAGATCACGGTTCTTGCTAAGAAGAAAAGTTCGAGAAAGGTAATCGCGTGGACGGAGGAGAGAAAGCGGCGGCACTCGGAGATAATGAGAGAGAAGTGGAAAGAAAGGAAAAACAAGAAAGAAGAAAAATGTCATGATATTCGCGTGGTCTCTATGGCCGTTCCGTGAAAAAAAAAAAAATACATCATCGATTCGTGGTAAATTACAATACAAGTGATAGTGGATGATTCTCAGGGAGTCCAGGATAATATTCTCGGCCAATACCGCAAGCTCCCCAACATCAACACCTAGTTCCTCGAGGAAGCTCCTTTTTCTTTTTGGAATCTTTGCACGAGACCCAAACCAGAGGCCTCTCACTGTGAACTCCCTCTCTCCGTAGGTCTCGCGGAATTTCTATTTTAGGAAAGGGATACATTTATCATAGATGTTCCTCTTTTCCCTTTCCACTTCACTCGCCTGATAAAGGTCATTGCTCAGTAGGATCCAA